TAGCAAAATTCCATCAGAATTGAGAAAATTCGAAAAAATGACCAACTTTGGAACCCTCGTGTGGCCTTCCTGTACTCCTTGGATCAAGATTTTTGCTGGTTTAAAACAAGATACATTTAAAATTCTTGACTGAAATATATCACCACTTTATCTGTGTTTTGAATGTTACCTCAAATAAGGGGCCATATTCGACGGTCACCATACCTTTTCCTTTTCGGATAGCTCTATGGAAGCTTGACGCGAAACGTAACATCGTTTCAGCCCTATCTTTCATGTCCACAGGAGGACATATTTACTCATAGATGCTATGTTACGAAATTGGTTGAAATTGGCCCAAAAGTCATAACGACCGACTCAGGAAGCAGAACGACAGGACGAAACAAATAGCAAAAAGGGATCCAGCAAAAAGTCACCTGCGTAATTCAGATGATCAAAAAATTCGCATATTACTTTTGAAATCAGTAAGTTAAAATTATCAAAAACAATAGAAAGGGAAAAACTTCGCAAACAAAATTGCTCAATACCGTGAATCACGACCGAGAGTTTATTTTTTCTCCTAGAAATTGTATTTTTAATACTTTTAAGTTTATTATCAAGAGTACCGAGTATACAGTATCACTTATATACTGGAGTCGTGCGTATATCCATCGTGTTAAATTCTTTTATCAGCGTGTTAACGAAGAGCATTTTCTCAGTTACAGTGAACAAAGAAAATAATTCTCTCGCGAGAACATTGGAAAGTAATTGATCCAATACTCTTTTTATCAGTTAGAAAATCTTGTATCGGATAGCACCTTAGAATGCAGTGAAAGTGTCTCAGAGAATTCAGAAGACACTGAAAGCTTGTAGTAATTCTATTAGCATTCCGGATAATCAAATGAAATCCGATTATTGTTTTATTGTCGAAGAAATGGCGGAGTATACATAGTGATAAAATCGCGCCTTGGGTTTCGTTTGGAAAGCTAATTACCTTTTTAAATGTTGTTATTTTGTGTAAAATGCACAGGTTAAACAGTGATTTTACTGTCCTAATGCAATCAGACTGTCGTATTTGTAATGAAATGAAACAAAGCCTGACCACGTCTTAAAATAATGGCTTTTTCCAATGGTGCGTCTTTTTATCGTTAGAATTACCACAATAAAAACAGTTCATTGTTGTTCTGCCGAGAGAAATTAAATCATGGCGTCGACAACTAAAAAAAAAGTTATGTAAATCTAAAACAAAATTAAAGGATATATTTAAAATACTCCCTGATAACTGAAAGCGAAAATAAATCATATCTGTAAGAAAGGAATTAATTATATTATCAATGACTTTATAGCCTCGAATACCTTAAACAAAGCCTAAATAGAACGTGACAATTCTGCCATAAACGTTCACAATCATTTCATTTATCCGGAATTTTTTGTTCCGAACACATTGTCCGTGACAACGAGACACGACTGTACCTAAACCAAAATAACTGCTAAAGGGAAAGAACTTTCGTTTGTATGATACATGTATGTCTGTGATGAAGTTGAATTAATTCTTTTTTTCTCCTCAATTTTTGTATTTTTTGTTTGTGTGTAAATAGAGTAATTATATCCCGAGTTTGGTTCCGTAGTTGGGAGTGTTCGAAATAAAGCTATTTTTAGTATAACCGGTTTGGTCAGGGAGAGTCGTGGCTGTTTGTCAAGAGTGCGGCCACGTTTTGATTTTGTCCATTAGTCCACGTTTCCTGGCGAATTCCAGAAGTTAGTCTGGTAAACGGGTAGCCAGGAAGTTGGTTATTTACTATATGGGCATTTCTTTCTCCAGCCGGTAAGCTATTCTTATTTGTAAATATTTCGTGGGTTTTGTAGTAAAGTTATGGGTGTAATGTCTGCATGTTAATACAGTTTACGGTTTGAGCCGTGTTTGGGTTTTAGATTAAGAAATTGTTATTTCAGTGCGGAGGGGTTATAAGTATAAACCCGGGGCTGAAGTGGGTTGTAGGACCTCAGGAGTGCATTTGAGGCATTGGTCGAGACGGGGCCAAAACAAGTTGACGACGGAGGTCGTGGTGTACACGGACAGAGTGTGTGTAACTAATGGAATTGGTGACGGTTATAGCCGTATAGAGGGGAGTGAAATTTAGTGGTATCCAGTGGGAGACCGGTGAGTTCAGGACTGGAACTAGAGGGACGCAGTGTTGGTAGTATGGAGGCCCAGTGGTGTTATGGTTGATGTAACTGTTTTTCTACGAAGTTGAATAGCCAAACTTCCAATTCAGTTTTAAAGAAATAAAACCTTGAAAAGTTCATATAGTTTAACGGATTTCAGATTTACAGTTATTATTTAACTAAAAGTTATTTTTTTCTGCGAAAAATCTACAGTGCTGAATTTTTGTTATTTGTTTGTTTTCTCATATAATTACATCTGATTTGTTAAAACCAGCATTTGATTTATTGGCAATTATTTTGTTTTAAATTAAATCTTTCATTTCATTGTCAATATTATCTGGTTTTTGTTTTGAAATTATATTTTGTTTTCTTTGTGAGAGAGGGTGCGTGAGAGTGCGTTTGTTTTGTTAATTTCTTATTTTGGTTGTTTGTTTTTTATTATTAAAATAAATTTATTTTGTTTTGTATATTCTACAGCTTATCATTTTCTTCTCTACCTGCACAAAATCTAAAAGAACTTCATGACATATGGTGGCAGCGGTGGGATTTTGTGGTGACTGGTATAGAGGAAAAGATATTCAGTAGAATATTGTTGTATCGCAGAAAAAATATTTTGTAATCTGTTTAATTTTTGTTATTCGTATTTTCAGTGGATTGTGAGTTTTTTTTTTGGCTAGTCACTTTTATTTATCTTGTGTCTGGTTACAATGTCGTTGCCTAGTTGGATTCAAGATGCAGTTAATAAGGGTCAAGATTTGTCAGTGTGTCTGGAATTGTGGAAGCATGCCTCTGCACTTGATCGAGATGAGCGTATGGAAAGGAGGGAAGAGAAGAGACAAGAAATGGAAATGCAGAAATTAGCTATGGAAAAAGAAGCAGTTACTGGAGAAGGACATGGAGGAAAAGAGGCAGCTTATTGAAAAAGATATGGAGGAAAAGAGGTTACAGGTAAAAATGAGAGAATTAGATTTAAGTGGCCGAAACCTGAATGGGCTTTGCGACCAGTGTCTCAATTAACAAAAGTGTCGCTGGATATATCTCCATGGTTGGGGGAAGACAAGTCTAATGATTATGATATCATTAAGTAGACAATACTGAAAAAGTATGATTTGACAGCTAATACATACAAGGATAAGTTAAGAGCTCGTCATCTAAAGATTTGCACATGTGGTTGAAAGAGAGGCAACCAAAATCAGCAAATGAAGTAATCAAGCTTGCTGAAGCCTACCAGAATGCACATCGTGGGTCGATGTTCATGCATGTGATACATTCCAAAAGTACCTCAAAGAATAAAAGAGGTAAATTTAAAGTTCGGCCATCTTAGCATAACAATCTGGAAAAGAGGTGTATCAAAATACTGGACACTTTATAAACGCATATGCATAACGTAAATCAACTGATAAGGGCTTAAGGTCATGAAAACAATGGATAACAAAGGCTAAGACAGTACAACCTACCGATGGTCAGGGTTATGTGGGGTTATTTCACTTGCTGACGAGGAAGTGTTGTGATTAAGAGTTGTTGTTGAATCAAGAAAGGTGTATTCTGTGGACAAGTGTAGTGGGCTGAAAATTGAATCCGGAAAGTTAAACGGTAATGAAGCTTCTGTGTTAAGGGATACAGGATTCACTTCAATTCTGGTAGATGTTACTCTTGCAAATGGATATTTAGAGAAATATTCGGAAGTGTGGGTTTAAGTCGAGACAGCCTTTGTCACAGGTAAGGTAGTGGCTTTGATAATCCGTTTGCAGATCTTATTGTAGGATTGATTGGATGTATGTTGTTTAACGTCCCTCCAGAGAATTTTTCCCTCATATGTAGACGGCATCACTTGACAGTGGAGAGCTTAAAATGTTGTCCTATACTCGGCACTCAGGACCATTGAGCAGTGAGGGATCTTATTGAAGGAAACAAAACTGTACTCGTGTAGACATCCCTGTTGAAAATGAAATAGCTATGCGAAATCAAGGGAAGGAAAAAATGTGATGCAGAAGTAACTACGGCGGCATCCATGGAAAGATGTAAAGAACCGGAAGAGTAGGCCTTTTAGAATTAATTTGATAAGGAGGATTAGATTAAGGAGTAGCAGAAGATTCCTACTTTATACAGAAAGAAGGTGGTGGATAGGAGGGAGAGGAAAGTTTCCTTACATTGGACAAGGGTATGCTGTATAGGAATCTCAGCTCAACTACTGAGGAGATGGTGAAGCAGTTAGCGGTGCCAACAGAATTCCGCAGACAGATTCGATCTCTTGGACATAACAGATGGCAGATCACATTGGTATAAAGAATTTCAGGGAGAGGATACTTAAGCACTTGCCAAGGAATCTTTTACGACTCTAAGAGATACTGTTGGTCTTGTCCTTAATGTCAGAGAGGGACATTTAAAGGCAAGGATAGCAAGGTTCCTTTAGTTCAGACCCCCAGGATCGATGGACCATTTGAAAGGGTAGCTTCCGACATGGTTGGACTGTTACCAAGACCACAAGAGGAAATCCATTTGTACTGGTACATGTTATGTGCGGGTATGCAACAAGATACACCGAAGCAATACCTCTACAGAGTAAGAAAGCAGAAGTTGTGGCAGAAGCGGTGATAGAGGTGTTCTTACCTGTTGAGTGCCAAATAGATCCTGTTTGATTAAGGTACAAGACTAGTACTAAGTTTATGTCGTCACTGACGTCAGAGTTATGTAGACGGCTGAGCATGCGTAAGTTGAAGACCACTCTCTATCATTCTCAAACCAATGGCCTACATGTAGTTGAGAGGTATAATTGGACTTTGAGTCAGGATAGTGGAATAAATTATTACCATACCTCCTATGCTCTTAACGAGAGATGCTACAGGAATCGACAGGATTTTCACATTTTACAATGTTGTGTTTGAGGCATGTGAGAGGTCTTTTGACGATTCTGAGAGATAACATAGATAGTAAAGATGAAAGTAATCAATTACAACCGTCTATTTTTAGCCACATCAAGGAAGAAGTAGGCCAAAATGGCAGATCTAATATTGGAAAAAGAGCAAGCTGTCAAAACAGACTTGAAAAGATAAAAGGCAGGAAACAGACCATTTGAAGTTACAGATAGAGTCCTAGTTTTGTTACCAAAAAAGTACGAAGAAGCTTAATAGAAGGGGCCTGTTCAGGTTATACAGAAAATGAGTCATATAGATTACATATAGAGTGAAGTATTACCATGATCCGGAGTTACTAATGTATATCATGTGAATATGCTTAAACATTGGTTTGACATAGAGGAGGAGATGAAATCTCAGGCAATGACAGGGGTATGTATAGCAGAGAATGCGGAAGATGAGACCGACTGGATTGGAAATTCACTCGTAGATCCTCGTCGTTGTCTATTCAATAAAAAATATGCAGAATGTCTGCAAGGATATGGTGAAGTGCTTGCAATTGTTCCAGGGAGAACTAGAGTGTTGAAACACCTGTTGGTGACTGCAAGTGATAGTCTAATACGACAGAAACCCCACCAAATTCCTCATTCTATAAGAGACGAAAGTCCGAAAAGAGTTACCATCCATTTTAGAGGCAGGAATTTTGGAAGCTACGGTAAATCCGTATACATCACCTGTAGTCAAATTCCTAAACAGGACAATTTCATCAGGTTTTGTGTTGACTACCGAAAACTAAATCAAGTACCTGGTATCACATTTTGACCCTATTTTGCCTATATAGAGGGTATAATTGACAGACTGGGAAAGGCAAAGTACTGTAAAATCACATATTTTTCGTGTGGTCAAAGTTTTGTGGGTTGAGAAAAAAAATCTTGGTTTGTTGGGATTTGATTTCGTGGATAAAGAACTTTTTAGTAGTTGTGCATATGAAAATTTACGTTTCGTAGTGGACATGAATTCGTGGGTCTCTTCATACCTCGAAAACAACGAAAATTAAACCCCCGCGAAAATTAGTGATTTCACAGTACTTAAGTAAGCTATACCTAATAAAAAGTTTTGGCAAATTAGTCTAGACGATGATACAAAAGTATCTTCGTACCTCCATTTGGCCATAATCAATTTACAGTTATGCCATTTGGAATAATGAACTCCGCTGCAACTTTTAACAGGCTGGTAAGAACGTTTTAGACAATCATCATCAATTCAAAGATTCATATCAAATGTGGTGGTCAAATTCTTTTTTCGAATCGTGTTCAGCTTCTAAGAATGCAGGTCTAAAAGCAAATCTAAGGAAGTGTGAGATTAGTTCACAACAGATTTAATTTCTGTGCCATATGGTCGGGAACAGCCAAGTACACCCGACACCGAAGAAGATTCAAACAATCTTAAAAATTCCAGTTCCGAGCAAAAAGGGAAAAAGGTAAGATCTTTTAGAGTATCTATAAACTTCTACAGGAAGTTCATTCCTCATTTCTCTACCAAGTCAGCTATCTTATCCGATTTGACAAGAAAGAATCAGCCAAATAAAGTAAACTGGACCGATGAGCACGACAAAGCTTTTAAACAGCTTAAGCAAGATTTGGTAAGTGCTCCAGTATTATGGAACCCTGATTTTAATGCAGAGTTCGTATTGCAAACCGAAGCAAGTGATAGAGGACTAGGAGGTGTTCTTTTACAGGAGAAGAATTCAGAACGTCATCCCATTGTATATTTAAGCAAAAAGTTGTTACCAAGAGAACAGAGTTTTGCTACAGTGGAAAAAGAGTGTTTTGCAATTGTGTGGGCCATTAAACGCCTTAGAAAGTATTTGTACGGTAAGGAATTTATTATAGAGTCCGACCACCGTGCACTTCAATGGTTAAAGACGATGAGATCAGAAAATCCAAGGCTTCTACGATGGAGCCTGGTTCTTCAGGAGTACCAATACACAGTACGGCACATTTCCGGAAAGGACAACAAGATGGCAGATTTTCTATCTAGACAATCTTAGTTTTGGTTTCAACTTCATAGTGATTTATTTCAAAATGATGGACATTTTGTGATAAATGGGGGCGTGTGTGATGAAGTTGAATTATTTTTTTTTTCTCCTCAATTTTTGTATTTTTTGTTTGTGTGTAAATAGAGTAATTATATCCCGAGTTTGGTTCCGTAGTTGGGAGTGTTCGAAATAAAGCTATTTTTAGTATAACCGGTTTGGTCAGGGAGAGTCGTGGCTGTTTGTCAAGAGTGCGGCCACGTTTTGATTTTGTCCATTAGTCCACGTTTCCTGGCGAATTCCAGAAGTTAGTCTGGTAAACGGGTAGCCAGGAAGTTGGTGATTTACTATATGGGCATTTCTTTCTCCAGCCGGTAAGCTATTCTTATTTGTAAATATTTCGTGGGTTTTGTAGTAAAGTTACGGGTGTAATGTCTGCATGTTAATACAGTTTACGGTTTGAGCAGTGTTTGGTTTTAGATTAAGAAATTATTATTTCAGTGCGGAGGGTTATAAGTATAAACCCGGGGCTGAAGTGGGTTGTAGGACCTCAGGAGTGCATTTGAGGCATTGGTCGAGACG